ATCACTGTGCAGTCACTGAGTGGATTAATACTGAATGGAGTGGGACATATTTGTTAGTAAAAGGTAACAATATGATTTGGTTTGTTTATCTTTCTCTTTTGTCTTAATATGTTTTGAAAAATCCTCAGCTTTATTCCAAAGCTTAACAAATTCAATCCAATTAAATTTACAGCATATTTGAGATAAACTTAAATGATTTTTTTATGCTTCGAAAATGTGTCATCTCAAACTTTTAACACTGTTTTGTAAAAGTGATTTGTATTGCACAGGAAACCCTCAGAGGAAATCAGACTATACTGTTGTTCAGTGGCCGACAGTATCTGATCCAGTCCGACCAGGAGACTCAGTCACTCTGCAGTGTTCAGTCGTCTCTGGCTCTGAGAACACGACGTGTCCAGGAGGTCACAGTGTGTACTGGTTCAGAGCCGGATCAGATAAATCTCATCCAGACATCATCTACACTGATGGACATAATAACTGTGAGAAGAGACCTGACAGTGTGAAGAGCTGTGTTTATCGCTTCTCTAAAAACATCAGCTCCTCTGATGCTGGGACTTATTACTGTGCTGTGGCCGCATGTGGACAGATATTATTTGGAAGTGGAACAAAACTGGAGATCGAAGGTATGATTTTATGTTCACAATAGAAGCAACAGTCAAATACATAAATAACACTGTGAATGATGCATCTCATTTTCTTTATGCTATGTTCTTTGTTTTGTAGTACAAACAACACAGTCAGTATTTGTAGCAGTGGTGATAATAATAGTCTGCTTGGCTCTTTCTGTTGTTGGAAATGTTGCCCTCATCTACAGGTACAGAGTGCATGTCCAAAGTAAAGGTAAGTGTTGCAAGGACTACAATTATTGCAAAGACTAAATCTGTCCTGTTACATTTAAATAGCATTCATCACAAGATTAAATATATTTATGTATTTCATATCAGACAAACCTTTATAACACAGGTTCTTTGGAGTTTTTCATTTTACACATTTTTAATTAACTGCAGAACAGTAAAGTAAAACATGCTTTAACAAAATAATTAAATTAACATCCATTCGGTGATTATTTTGTGACATAATTTAATAGAAAATAAGATTAACTAAGGGTATTATTTTATTTCATTTAAATATAGCAATGGAAAATGCGGTTTCAGAGGCACAGCATGACGATTTGAACCAACCAGTGTGTGACACAGTAAGTGATAATACAAAATGTTATTTATTGTATGGTTGTTGTTACAGTATATTAATACATTTTGTGAAGGTCTCATATGTTAGTGTCTATAAATAATGTATTTATGCACAACTGTTTATTTGCTGCACAGACTGAAGATGAAGACAAATTGAACTATGCCGCCATCTGTTTCTCTGAAAGAAAAGTAACCAGAGGACGAAAGAAGAGGGACTTTTCAGAGGACAGAGTGTACGCTGGTGTTAAGTGTTAACACTGTTTATACTGTATGCTGTTTATTCCTCCTCATTTTAATCTGAACTATACATCATGCAACATAAAGTTTGTAAATTTTTTGCTGTATTTTTTATCTTAGCTAAATAATAAAGGTCTTTTTTATTCCCAGTATTTCAGTTATCAAAGGCTTTCACGTGTTTTTGTGGCATTTCTAACAAACAATTCCACATTTGGTTTTTAACTATATTAACACAAATCTTACTGTTGCTCAAATTATTTATATATTGCTGCAATGATAAACAATTTCATTTAAATTGTTTATTTGCTCTTCGTATGTAAATGTGGCTGCAAGCAACGTGTGAGTACTTTTTTTTTTAAAATGGTCATGTTCGCATGCTAAACATCCATCCATTATCTATACCATTTATCCGGAAGAGGGTCGTGGGGGGCAGGAGTCGATCCCAGCTGACATTAGGCGAGAGGCTGGATGCGTCCTGGTCACAGGGCTGACACTTAGACAAACAACCACACACACTCCTACCGGCAATTTAGTCACCAGTCAACCTAAGCTGCATGTCTTCAAACTGAAGCCGGAGTACGCAGGGAGAGCCCACGTAGGCACAGGGAGAACATGCAAACTCCACACAGAAAGGCCCCAGGTCAGTCAGGGCTCGAACCCAGAACCTTCTTCCTGGGAGACGACAGTGCTAACCACTGCTCCACCATGCTAAACAATAAACTTAAAAGTGCTGGGATGCAGACTAGAATAATACATGCAGGCAGAATATCATCATGATCCTAAAGCTAAAGAAGATGGATCTAAACAAAAAAATCACTTTCCCTTTAAAGCATGAAACAGATAAATGTTTATCTGAAAATGAAAATGTTGTGGTTCAGTATTTCACACAAATAAATCTGTGTGTTTTCAATTTACTGTTTATGGACTTTTAAATTGACAGATTTGAGAGTGAGTGCACTATCAAGTGTGTAACATCCCTTGTGCAGAAAAGCACAGCTGGTATCTGTTAAACCTGTGTTTGCACCCCGCTTTCCTATTGAAATCTGTACTAGACTTATAGGGCATTTTTATTCATTAGTATTAAGCTGTCTTCACAGTGGTGCAGTGCAGAGTTGTCTCACACATCAAAACTGGTTGTCTGTGTTTGTGTGGGCCTCCTCCTGCAGCCTAAAAACATGCAGGTCAGGTTAGCTGGTGATTTTAAATTGCCTGTGGGTGTGACATAAGCGTAAGTGGTTGTCTGTCTGTGTGTGTCAGCCCTGTGAGTAAGTCATCACCTGACCATGGTGTACCCCGCCTCTCACCCACGTCAGCTGGGATCAGCATACGACCTTTCATAAGATAAGCAGGTATAGTTAATAGACAGATGAATGTTGTACCTAATTGTTTTGCTTTACAGATCATAAATTTACCTTAAGGTTCAATCTCACTGCTCTCATCACTATTAGCTGGTGTACACATCATCTTTATTATGTTTTAGCTGATTATCTGCAGCAGCTGTTGTCAGAGAAAAAACATTTCTAATAAATCTGCTTTTCATTGCACAAAACCAAACAGCAGGCAAAGGTTTGCTTAGAAGTGTTGTTCCATGTCTCTTAGATGTGTGAATTAGCAGCTACAAATATCAGACCCCAGCTAGCTAGAACAGTCAGTTACTAAGCTAACTTCCTGATGACTAATCTCAACACAGAAGATTTCACCTTTGATGAACACAATGAAAATGTGTCAAAGTGTGTGAAATTGTCTTTGCTTATGTTCATGCATTTGCATTAAGTAGTAGTTATTTGAGTACTTGTGTGTTAGTTTATCAAAATATTTAACGGTTATTGTATCTCTATGTAAGATCTAGTTATTTGGTGCATCCTGTTAGTCATAAATCTCCACATATCACAGCCGTTTCCTTTTATACCGGTAAAACAGTACGAACTAACATTAGCTACTGACATTTATTGGTGTCAAGTGGTAATATCCAGTGAGAGACAACAGCATTTTACTTGACTGTCAAAGTAAAACTCTAAAGATTGCACACTTTAAATTATTCCTTCCAGTGACCATGAACTGTAGAGTGAACATTTGATACCAGCATCCCCACTCAGAAGTACCTGGAGCAAAGTGTAGGTTCAGGAATGTGATCGAAAAACAGATGGAGAAAGGCGAAGACAAAACCAAAATACGTGCAAACCCACAAATTATAGCCTCAGATATAAGCACGCTACACATGAGCACACCAATGTCTACTTGCTGAACTCTTCAAATAAATCACACTACAGTATTAGGAGTCATGCCATCCAACCAATTATTTTTGTTCAGGTCCAGCAACTTTAAACACACATACACACAGACATTGTAATATAGAAATCGGTCTCCTTATAAAATACAACACTGTGTCTAATATAATATACAAAACATAGAAGAAAGGCTGTTTTAATGGTGTTTTTCTTGCAGTATATAAAATCAAATTTTGAGTGATTGTTCAAGATCAATCTGACAAACAGTAGAAGAGAAATACAAATAACAACAACAACAACAATATTAATAAATATGCATACTTGTGTTCTTCTAGCAGCCAACATCACAAAACATGAGTGCTGCCTCAGTCCTAACCTAATCATACTTATTATACTCTTAACGGTAACATTACCTCTGAATATTTGCAAATAAATCTCCCATCTCATTTCATTCACCTAAACAGGAATCATATCTGTATGAAACTGACTTTATCCAACACTATATATATATATATATATCAGTTATTTCTCCTTCATGGGGACGGCTCAGTCATGCCAGAGTACACACTGTCCTGAGGAAACTCTCTATTATTCATCCATCTTTTAGGTTTTCTGGAGGGGAAGTTCAGGGCTACATAGTTGATTGCCCCTGGTTCATCATCCTGCAAATGATAATTATGATAGAGATTAGATCTGTAATTCCACAAGCAGTTAATAATGGACTGTTTTTAAAAGCTTCCGTACATAATGTGCTAGTAAAATGAAAAAAGGTTCAGGGACAAAATATTTCTTTTATTTTCTGACAAAAGACTCAGACTGATAACCTTACCATCCACCTGGTCCAGCCAACAATTACACTTTAGTGATTTATTATAATTCAGTTCTAGTCATCCATTGCAGTTTTATATTAGATTTACCACATTCCTTGTTTGATCCTCAGAAGATCTGTCATGTTCAACATGATTGGAAATCGTTACTTCTCCTGTTAATGAAAGCAAGACACTATTTATTGTTTCATCTGTACCACATCACAACCACCACCATCTGGTCACAAACTGGTTACTGCCCCATGTTAGAATGTTTCTCTTATTTGATTAGTGAGTGAGTGAAAGGAGATGAGCAGTATAAAGTAACCCAATCCATGTGCACATGATGGCCCACTGTACCTTTGTCATGTCCACAAACTTGCTTTGGCTTTATGGAGTGAATTAGAGCAGCAGTCACAATGATAGAGTAGACCAGCAGTGTCATAAGGACAGTCACAAATGGCCACACTACTTGTCCTGAAATCAGAAAACATTCCAGAGAGAAACCATGTAAAACTTAAAAGTTTCATCAAAGGGTGTTCATGAACTGCACCTATTGTGTCTTGTTTACCTTAGACTATTTTTGTGTAACAGGAAGAACTTAAAGAAAATTATGTTTGTGGTTGCAGACATCTGTTCCATAGAACCAGTGATTTATTCTCTAGTGACAAATGTTGTTTTTTAGCCCCACACTAGCCCCACCACAGCTCTATAGATGGCGATGTCAGCCTGTCACTTTGTTGGTACACCGCTTTGATCCAGACTGAAATATCTCAACAACTACTGGAGGAATCAACATAAAACGTGATGCAGAATCTCATGGTCCCCTTGCAATTTGTGCTAATTTCAGTGATCTAATAATGTTTTATCAAGTGACCCCATCAGGTCAAATTTTAAAATCGTCTTTGACTTTGGTTAATGATCAAATACCTGCAAAGTGAATGACATTTCCATGAGCATCAGCTGTACTTTGTGTTGAGTGCCAATTAGCAAAAGTTGGCATGCTAATCTAACTACTAAATATTGTTGTAATTGTGAGCATTAGGATTAGCTCAAAACATTAGCACATTAGCTTGCTATGCCAAAGAACAGCCTCACAGAGCTGCTTGCACACTCTTAGTTTGTAGTTTCGGTTTTATTTAGTTATGTGATTTTCTAAAAATGTTGTATGTTGTTTTGAGCGACACTGTGCAGTTTATCTTCTATATAGTTCAAGCACTAAAGCTAAGCTAACTGTGCTCCTCTTTTCCACTAAATGCTTTTCAAAAGGAATAAAGGATAAAATTACAGATAAATCACGAATAAATAACATTAGTCCTAATTGATAAAATATGAGGAAATATTAATTTACATATTTTGTAATTCACATGTATACATGTATACTGTAAAACGATCACTGACACCAGATTTGTTTTCTGCTAAAATATCTGACCTTTCAGTTTAATATTAATATAGACAATGTGAAGGTACACACCGTGCTGAATGTTATGACAGGGGCACCAATTTGGCAGGGATATGCTGTATTTACCTGCATATATTCTTATTTTATTATTTATATTTCACTTTACTGACTGGTAATTCAGAATGGATAACCTCAGCTGACTGTAGCTAACTCTTAGCAGACCTAGACATCCTGAGAGTGACAGACTGAAAAATTACCACATTCTGATCTCAGCTCTTGGTTTGGGATCTAACACTAGTTAGTAGCTGTCAGCAGATAATAAAAATGCTGCACATGAATCCATTTATGTCCTGTCTGTGCTCAAACTGAACACTAAAGTGGATGTTTGCACGTAGCTGAAGCATCTGCTACTATATGTAGCTGTATGAGATAGTATTTATTTATTTTTATTAACTTATAGATGTATGTAGTGTATGTCTCTATGATGGATAATGAGTGTAATCTTCCAAAATGGTGCATTTACCCAAAATTCAACAACGCTTGATTACAGCGCCACATTCTCTATTGCCTACCGTAAAGCCAACCGCCTCCTGCTGCCTTTGCTGCAGTTCCTAAATATAACACTTTATTCATTAATAAAAACATTACCTCTGAACATAATCCAGCCAGTGATTATGTAACAATTTTGTTACAAACCGAATTTCTATTAGACAATGTTGCTACTTTTTTCACATTCCTGTGTTAGTCAATCTGGTATCATAAAAAGTAAGAGAAGATGAGCTGCAGAGAGCAGGGCCTCAGTGGTACTGAGACCACCAGAGGAAATGGAGAGAAAACACACTCTTACACAGAGAAAGAACAAAGAGAGGGGAAGAAGCCGTGGCAGTCGACCTCACCCAAGAAAAAACTGTACTGTGTAGGTGGTGCCCCTCAAAGTCAATCTCATTACAACTGTAAACTGTACAGACTGAATCTCCCAACCTTTGTGGCTTGTGATCATTCGAAACAACACAACGTCAACTCTCTGTACCTCATCAAAGGTTACATACAATATTTCTATAAGCGCTTCAAAGAAATCGAACTTGAATCATTTTTGAGGCCTGAACAGATAAAGCTACAGTGTATTTCAAGTAAACAAGGGAAAGAAACTATATATACACCATAATTTTATGGACCTGATTTTGTTTTTTCCCAATTACCAACACTGTGCTTAGAAAGCAATAGATAATGAAACATTAAATACGTACTTATCTCTTCAACTCATCCCTTCAACCTTCTGGTAGGGAGACGACTGCTCTACCCACCCAACCACTGTCACCTCCCCCATTATTAGAAAGTAATAGATAATAAAACATTAAATACATACTTATCTCCACTTTAGTTCCTTCCCCAAACAGGATCTGTCCACATGTGACCACAGCACAGTAGTAAGTCCCATTGTCAGAGTCCTGTACAGTTTTGGACAAACTGTAGACACAGCTTCTCTGCTCTTGTTCATCACCGCTGTCATTGTGAGTGTAAAGGACACTTGGATGGGAGTATCCTGATCCAGCTCTGAACCAGTGCACATTGTGTTCACCTGGACACCGGACTCTGTTTTCTTGGCTCTTGGAGAGAAGTGAACACTGGAGAGTCACTGAGCCGCCCAGCTGGGTCGACACGGTTTCTGGACTTTGCTTCACATAGACAGATTTCTGCTGATTATTATGATCTGTGTGGTTCACGAAAAAGACAAACTATAGTTGTTTGAGTATTGACAAAGACATAACAAACAAAAACACTGAAGTTAACATACTTTACCATTCACAGCCAAATATGTGCCTTCAGTAAAATGCATTGCGTATGCTGATCCAGACTGACAGAAATATGTTGCTTCATCTTCTTTTTGTACATTTGTGATGTTAAGGTGATACTGAGTCCCCATCCTTATGACTGTGAATCTTGAGTTGTCAAATTGATCTTTCAGTGTTACTTTAGCAAAAGTTCCTTCAGCGACTATTTGGACCATATATCCACATTTCACCTGATACCAATAAAACAACCCGGCTCTATCCCCGTAGACTGGACATGTCAGAGTCACATCGTCACTAGAGTTTGCCACAGTCACAGGGATCTGGTGAGGAACCGCTTGGGTATGAGCTAAAGAAGAGAGACAAGAAAACAAAACATAAACACTGGCAATATAGTGAAAAATGCATAAGTAGAGCCAGTTTAGCTACAAGCAGTGGTTTACATTAGCACCTGTCTTACAGTAGCAAAGAAGTGCGACTTACACAAT